ACGCAAGCTCACTGGCTTACAACATCAACTATACTGGACGTACATACATATATACATATGTGTATATGTCAAGCTCCATCTTTGACGCTCGTCCAAGTCGACTTCCCTTGCCGTGTCGTTCAGCAGCTGTGAGGAGTGTGCCTCCATAAGAACGACTTTGGTTCCGGAGCTGCATTCCTGCCAAACTCATCATGATAGTAGCGGCTCTCAAGTAAAACTGACTTCTGTGATGCTGTGTTCAAGGCCCCATCCGAAAAGCAGAGACAGTCAAAGCCATAAGTCCGCAACCCTCGCTTCGTCCTGCCAGTCGACAAGGCCGCTGCCACAGGAGCAACCAGCGCTTCCTTCACGTCCCAGTTATAATAGTCGCTCCATACTAAGCTTCCCAGATTGCAAGAGTCCGAACTACAACTTGCTGAATAGAACCCTTCGATAATGGCTTGTAAAATCTTTGGAATCTGCAGGCTGACAAACTGGTCCCGCAACGCTAATTCTATTCTGAATGGCCCGTCTTTGCGCTTCTCTCTCTCTCTCCCTCTTTCTTTCGCAAGGCTTGAGGGCAAGCCCCCACCCAGAGGGCCGCCCCTGTTGTAGGTGCGCACAGTATTACGTTCTCTCTCTCTCTCTCTCTCTCTCTCTCCTGTTGCATCCAGAGGGTCTAGCCGTTTTTGCGCTTGGACCTTATGAATGCCAACACTACACCACATCAACTCGTTGGGAGAGTTTGCAGATGATCACCCAGAGCGTATGCCCTTCACAGTTCTCTGTTGATTAGACTCCACAGAAACGAATAGAAACCCGAAGTCCGATCTATTCCATGTTGGACACCTTATTCGAACGCATAAAGCTTAACAAGGCGACACCATGTACACATGCCCAACCTTAACAGCTGGTCTACGTGCAGAAGCCCATGCGCAAGAACCATACTGTGAGGAAGGATAATGAAAAACAGTTCGTAGCGGACGTCGCAGTCAACACACGCACACACACACACACACACATATATATATATATATATATACATACATGTGTATATATATATATATATGCATATGTGTGCGCGTGTGTATGTCTGTATAAGACGTGCACAGTGCATACCATGGAGAGAGATACATGTATTCAGCGCAGCTCCGATATAGCACAGCAGCTTAGAGCGGCCTGCAGATCTAAGGCTTCCCCAGTGAAGGGAGATTTGATGATGTCTGCAGAAAGAGCATGGGAGACCTCCAGCAACCGGGTTTCGGCTTCATGGGCGTGTGCATCAGGGTCATGCTTGTCAGGTTTAAGGCTTTGGGATTGACTTTCAGAGTACTACATTACTAGTATATAGTTTTACAATCAGCTTTAACTTATGGTTTAATAGTTTTAAGGCTTCAGGGTTTTTGGCTTGTCGGATTGTCGACTCGCACAAGGCAGGCAAGGCTTCATGAGCTTCATTTTGGTTTCGCTCACGCCTGCATAAGGCAGTCAAGGCTCACAACGAAAAGGCATCGTCACACATAGACCCTAAACCCTAAACTCCTAAACTACCGAAGCGAATGAGGCCATCTCAACGGGAAAACCCGATATCAGCCCTGACCCCGAGCCTCCTCTGTGGAGCTTGCGACTCAGGGTTCAGGGTTTAGGGTTTAAGGGTTTAGGGTCTATCAGGCCGAATGCCTGGGAGAGAGAGAGAGAGAGAGAGGGTCTATCAGGCCACGGATACCTTACGACCATTTTACCTACTATTGTTATTGCTAATATATCTATATTTGTTATTATTACTGCCAAGTTGCTGCCGACTGGAAAAGCCGGAAGCCTACCCCCGACCCTAGCATCTTCCCGGAATGCCGAAACCATTGAAGTTACAACAGTTACGGTTTTTTTAGGGTTGGAAGATGTCGGGTTTTAGGGTTCGGGGGTTTAGGGTTTTCAGCACCCATTGGGTACACTTCTCGATCTGTGCGTGTCAGCCTTGCGCAGGGGCCATGCTAATCTTCTCTGTATCGTTCCAATTTTAGCGGCTGATCCCCGAAGGGATTTAGGGTTTAAGGGTGTAGGGTTTTAGGGGTTATTTAGGGTTGAGGGTTCAACGCTAGCGGGTTTTCGGGTGAGCTTTGACTAGGGAGACCGGCCTCCCGAAGCAAAGGCTGTCGGCCCTCCGTCCAGAACTGGGGCAGCACCTTCCGAGCTGGTTTCATAGCAGCAACCCTTCTTTTGAATGACCTCATTTGGTCTACCTTTAATTAGCTCATGTAGTCTAAACTTAAACCCTGAAGGGTAAGCCCTCAAGGAAACAGAACATCAACGCGAACAAGCAGGACAGTCATCTGGAGCGCGGGGTCTTCCTGTGTGTGTCACACGTCAGAGAGCTTGACAGGAGTCACCTGCGAGGCTAGCACGTCTGTCCTCTGTGTGTGTGTGTGTCCCTCCTGCACTGCCAGTTCCGCAGGGAGTTGGGTCCCATTCAATCTGCAGCTAACATAGGAGCCTGATTAATTGAGTAGGGTTCCCTGGAGTTCCTTAGAAGAGATACAATATAGCCGACGTGGAGACTATACTCCGCACCTAAAGGCCGTAAGGCATAATACTATTATTAAAACTTTCTATATTGGAGCAAACATACAGGAAAACAGAAGGTTTCGAGTGCCCCCGCAGTACGGTTGCTGATGTCTTCGGTATTCGGTTTTAGTGTATGTAGTCCTCCTTTCTGCTCTTGTCTATTTTTGCTCGTGTCTATTTTACTACTGTCGTTCTGTCCACTTGCTCCGGGTCAATGTTACATGAGCTTTCGGGTTTCTCAAATGGTTTATGTAGGTAGTTTAGTTTAATTAGGGTTCATAGTCTAGGTTCTCTGGCGTAGGGCTTCACAGCACTTGCCCGCTGAAGGAAGCAGGAGATGTGCTGACCGGCAATAAACACAAGAGCGGAAAGTTCCATCACGTGAATTAAGATCGCCTTGCACTGCATCACAAGAAACCAAAAAACGAGTCCTATCCAGACCCACTCCACCACAAATTCAGAATCCTAGGACCTCAATACTACATCCTACAGCACGAGTTCGGACACCGTCAACCGATCCGGGAGAGCACCTGTCGAGCATAGATGACTGGCAAAACCTACAAACTTGATACATCCTCAACTCCTATCAACCCCACCCTCTTAAGCGCTTTGTTACTTGATCTGAAATCCTCAGCCGCACTGCACCCTCAGCCTTCCGAAGGCATTGACCCGAAGACGGGCTGCTTTATCTGGTCTAGCACCCTAAACCACCAAGCTCGAAATCTTGAAAACGAAACCTCATATCATAAAACCTTAATAGAGGGGTCTCTGTAATTAGACGAAGCCTCAGGGTATATTATGCCCTATAGTTCTTATACGAAATCCCATGGTCTTACCAATTAACTAGTCAGCCTTCTACATTCTACCCGCAACCCTAACCCACCCGAACCCCATGAACCCTAAAACCCTAGATCCTTCTGGAACCCATGTACATGCCCTTGGCAAACACCCTTCGGCCTCTGCAACCTCCTCCCGTTGCTTTGCCGCTCTGGACACGGGCAGCTGGGCCTCACGCAGACTTTGGGGAGGTAACAAACCCATCACTGTCGCCAAACGCTGCATGCTGACTATGGAAGACTGTAGGACTTCACCACAAAACGAGGAGGATTTCTTCGGATTGCGCGCTGACTTCCTTTGCAGTAGTGAGCATCTATGTTCTCGCACATACCTGGGCTTGGTCATATGCGCATGAGTGTATCATGGTATAAGATGATCTTGAGAAAATCCTGGTGCAGGCAGTTTTGCATCTGATTCACCACGCCACTGATGCTACGACTATTGCTGCTACTGTTGCGATTGCTGAAACGTAATCTTCGCTGGGATACATCATTGTTTAACTTATCACCACGGTGTTCGTCAGTAATATGTCTTTGTGTTCTTACAACGTACATAATTGCCTATACATAGTGAAATCTGGAAAGACATCTTGTGACATTGAGCTTTTCCATTCAGGATCTCAAGTGTCCTCATTAAAAGTTGTGTTCTTACTAAACAATGTACATGAAACCACAGCCGACTATGGAGTCTTCTTTTTCCTGCCGCGGGCCAGCCATCCGAAGAAGCTCGCGGTAGTCCGTCTAAAACTCGACAGTAGAAGCCTTAAGCTTTGAACAGCATTACCCTCATCCTCCTAAGGCAAAGTGGAAAGCCATCCTTGACCCATGTTCGAGCGTTCTGATGTTCACTAGAGTATGGTATCAATAGTACCTTATAGTTTGACATACAATGGAGAGCAGTACAGTTTCGTACAGTTTAGTATCGTATGCTACGCTATAAACCCCGTGGCTCGGCGAGCGCGTGCGCGAGCTTTCACGGATGCTCAGTTGGGTGGTCGGTCACCTTCTCAACCAAGGCGCCTGGAGACCCGAAGCGCCCGAAGCAATTCTGGGAGGATCAGGGGACTTAGTAAGTAAGGTTATAAGTCCGGCTTTTGTAGCCTCTTCACATGTGTGCGGAATTTTAGCAAAGGGGCCTTAATTGAATGCGTTTTGGGATGATACTACGCAATATAGTCTTTTTATATGGAGATTATCAGGGGATACTATTGCTAGTTGGTCAGACCTTAATAGCCCTTAGCTTCAGAATCGATGTATTAATCCTTAACAAAGCACTATCCTGACTACTTCTTCGGTATTCTTCGGTCATATCTACCTGCGGCTCGAAGGCCTAATGTAATACTCCTGAGCTAAAGGTGTCGGGCTCTCTCGGTTCTTGTCGGGGGATTTCCAGGATCAGGCCATTGTTCGTTGAAGCCTGTGGCAGCTAGCAGCCAAACATGCATCTCTCAAAGATTTTGCGCATGCCCCAGGGTCGCTGGGCGACGCTTTTCTCCAGAACAACGGCATCCCCAATTTCCAAATCACAGCCATTGCAGGTTCCCCGGCGACTGTCTTGGTCGACTGTCGCAGCCACGTCTGACTACAGTGCTGGCACTGCACACTGTACAATCTTACACGCCATCAGTCTGTGTTCTTGCACAGCTGTACAGCGAGCTGAGACCCATGAGCACGGCCGTTCGCAATGTGCAGGCAGAACATCTTACGCAGGATGCTTGCTATCCCGCTCGGGCCGCTGGACGCTTCATCACCTTCCCACCAGCGCTGGTGGAACCACTGGCACTGGGCTTCTGCGACTTCTCCTGGGCTCAATGTCAGCTGTCGCAGCTATATAGCCATAAACCCTCCTCCTTAGAAGGCCCGAATGATGAAATCTTTCCATCTAAGAAGCCTGGGGTTGTCAGTAAAGGCTTTACAGGGTTCGGGTTAGCAATGCTCCCCAAGCATGAAACAGCCTTGATCTGAGAGATCTTCTCTTGCGCAGTCTCCAGCTGCTCCCGGCACTTCTCGAAGCCCTCCTTCGTTGGAGGGCGGGGAGCTTTTGAAGGCATCCTGAAGTTTTCGGCGTCTTGCCTATGATCAGCATGAAATCTCTCACTATAACACATACCACTAAGTAGTGTTAGTGTTACTGCGGTTAATCTAAACTGACCCAAAACTGAAAAAATCGGTTCGGTGGTTCTTTACACAGCAACAATACTAACAACAGCTTGAACACGGCATATGACTAAGAGATACTAAGAGTGATGACTGCGTGCTTATAATAAACACACCCTAAGCCCTAAACCCGGAACCCCCTCACTAAACCCCAGAACCTCGACCCTTTCGACTAAACCCGGAACCCTATAAACCCCCAAAACCCAAAACCTCGACAAACCTCGGAGCTTGTTGCGGTCTCGGGCGTCCGAGGCGTGCGCCAAGCCGAGCTTGGCCTTCTCGAAGTCTGCCTTGGCAGCCTCCATGGCTCGCTTGGCACCTCGGCGTGGGCTTGAAAACATCTTGCAAACTTAGGGCTTTAGCGTTTATATGGGGTCTATAACCCTGAATTCGGCTTAGGGTCTATGGAGTGTTTATGAAATCTGATAATTCCTAAACCCTCAACCTCTCAACCATTCCAGGGTTTTCAGGTTCAGATCTTAGGGTGCAGAACATCCTTGTAACCCTATATACATTATATATATATATATATAGTACCCTGAATAGTAGGATCCTTATTACAAGGACCCCATAATAAGGTCTCCCTACTGACCAACCCCACTAAGCAAAATAGAAAATATCCCAACGGCCTGGCCAGGCACTAAAGCCATGGTGACTGTACTGATCTCCCTTGGATTGGAGCTGCTTGTACCTGAGCTCCAAACTCTACAGAAAGGAGGCAGGTCTGACCTATTATGTAGAGGCGTTTTTGGGCATAACTCTGAAATTTTCAGGTAACTGGAGCCGGAGCGACTCCTTTTGAGCAGCAGCGAGCTTCGTCTTTGCCTGTGCCTCTGCAGCTTTGAACTTTGCTATGTCTGCCTTGGCTTCATGTAGCTTCTCCCGCAAGCTCCGCACCCGCTCGCCGGCATTTTTCTTGATGACCCGGGCACGCTTCTTTCGTCGGAGCTCCTTTGATTTCGTCTCCTTCTCTATAGCCTTTCCCAGCTTGTTAGCGGCTGCACTCAGCTTCTCCAACTCCTGATCTGCGAGTCGTAGCTCCTCCCGTTTTGCCTTGAGCTTCTGTGCCAAAGGCTTGATCTCCTTCTTTAAACCTAGTTCATGCTTGGGATAGGAATCAAGATGTAAATCTGTATCCATTACTGGGTTTTTAAGTACCCATAAGCATGCAAAAAATTCCCCAACTATGACAAAGAAACGATCCACGGCCTTCTTCTTCTTCAGGGCCTCTCGGAGAGCGGCCTTAGCCTCCCGCTTGCTTGGAGGAGCCTTCAGGGATGCTTGAGGGTTCGGGGCTTTAGGGCAGTTTCGGGCTTTATAGATCTTGGGGCCTGCAAGCCCTAAACCCTACCTGGCTTATAGGGGTTTAGGGGTTTACTGTAGGGCCTTACGGCAGTTGTGGGCTTTGTATCTTAGAGATCCGGGCCAACCTTAAATCCCACCTTCATGGACCGGCTCTTGGGCTTTTCATCTTTGGAAGCTCGCTTCTTGCGCGCAGCGATCGCGTCATCCTCTTCGTCTTCCTCCTCCTCTGCTTCCTCGTCCTCGTCGTCCTCTTCCTCCTCCCCCTCCTCCTCTTCCCCTTCATCTCCTACCTCCTCCTCTTCTTCCTCCTCGTCGTCCGTGTCCACATGCCTTGCTGCAGGTTTCTTGCGCAGGCCACTTGATTGCGCAGCTGGCCTCTTCTTGCTTGGAGCCATGGCGTTCGGCGGGAAGTCTAGAGTAGGTACTGGAACCCCAGAAGACGGAATGTCTGTGTAACTCCAAACAAGTTCCCCCACAGGTGAGTGAAACCGTTGCAAAACTGGGATAACTTCGCGTGCTGTCCTTTAGCTGTGCTTTCAAAACAAAATGCCCAATGCGTGGCTGCAGAGCCCACTGCATCAGCGCATCGAAGAACAAGAGTGCCCACCGGCTGTCTGAAGCAAACTGCACTTAACGACACAAGAGCAACAGCGAGCCCCTTGAGGGTCAAGCAATTGAAGCAGACGATCGTGGTATATGTAGGATCACCATGCAAAACTGCATGAATTCATCAAGACGACAAGGTGATATCGTAACGAATTACGAACAAAAGTTATTAAGTTGTTAGTTAGTCAGATGTATACCCACAGAACATCTCTTGATTCCATGTCTGAAAGCCTCGGAGCTGCAGCGGCCCTGCCTTCACTTGGGCTGGGTGGACCGGGTGTTCTGTGGCAAAGGCCATGGCGCAGCGTCTTTGGAGCGTGAGAATGAGACTGCCGATGTGTGCAGTGGCTTCTGAAGAGAACCTCAAGAGTTTTGGGGGAGGAAGCAGTTCAGATAGTCATCCTTTCAATGAGACCTGGCATGCATGTTTGAAGCCGAACAGCGGGTGAAAGATTGTAGCTGCGCATTACCTGCGGCTAATTGCAAGACCGACTGACCCAATGCTAAATCATGCTGCTTTGCTCCCCGCCGCCCATGCCCACCCCTGCCTCCGAAAGCTTCATGAGGGGCTTCCCGAATGCTAGTGGCCCTCTGTCAGATGCACCTGCCGGTGCTTCCATGGTTTTCGTTTTGGGGATTTTGGAGGTAATGGCCAGCTGAAACTACCCTGTCTGGGAGTTTGGGTGGTGTATGGTCCTCTCCGAGGGCGTCTTCGTCCCTGCGTCAATAACGGACCCGATCCGAAGGTCTATAGCCCGAGGCCTTACAACACCCTGAACTCGTAAACCCGATATCTTGAAGCGTCTGTTTGGTCCTTCTTGAACCATGCCACCACTGGTTCCGGCAAATCTTGGCTTCCGAAGCCCATTGCTAAGTATGTAAATACGACGTTAACTATTACAAGAAGGAGGCAGTTACTTCATCTAGGTGTCCTTAATCTAGTAAGGAACCTCGAATTTACAGCAAGCTGGGCCCTCAGCTTAAGTTCTGAAACTCCCACATTTATCCCTACGCTGGAGCCTGCATTGCGAGGCCGTGAAAGCCACATCGTGACATGCTGGCCCACATCAGGTGCTGCTTCACGCTGCAGAAAACTCAAACACCCTTCGAACCATAATAATATAGTAAACCCAATGCTATCAAATCCTGACCCTTTGGAGTTCGTAAGAACACTACAGTAACTTCAGGGCCAGCCCCGAGTGGTTTGGGGCCCACTAAAACCCTAAACTTAGGGTTTACGCTCTCGCAACTCGGACATGCCTGACGAGGTCTCTGGTGCAGTGTGCTTGACAGTCGGTTTAGAGTCTGGCTCTCGCAACTCGGGCACCGCCCAGCCAGACGAAGTCTCTTTGTTCGCAGTCGGTTAACACTTGGAACTTTGCAAGTGCTGGATTTCTAAACTCTAAACCGTTTCAAGAACGAGTCAAGAACCCCTCAGAAATCGCACCTGGCAGTCCAAACGCCGCAGCCTCTGCAGCGGATGGTGGCCTGTGACGGCACAAAACTCGGACACTGAATAAACCCAAATTGGTTCCTGTAAGGGTTCCTGCAAGGGTATCATAAGGGTTCTATCAGGGCTCTTTGGGCCTAGAGGCTTCCACTAACCTGAGCTCCTGGCTAACCTGGTCTACAAGCAATGAGACAGCACATTTAGCCAACCATGCGCGTACAAATGACGGCAAACCCGCTAGATCTCCACCAACACACAGCGGGAGGCTCAGAGTAGCGCAAGAAGGCCAAGTCAGCTATCCCAGCTGGGAGGCCAAATGGGCTGACAACTGAGAAGACATATGTGCATGTGTGTCTTGGAGAATATGTGTGTATATATATGTATGTATACATACATATATACATATGTAATAAATAAACAAATAAATGATATGTGTCTGTCTCTCTCTCTCTCTCTGCCGTATCATCATCAAGGCGTGTGTGCATTATGTGTATTAGAACTATATGCAAGCACTCACACACACACACACACTCTCACACCACAGCCGTGTCTTGCCGGCCTCCTGCCGTCCTCCCCTTTTCCTTAGCTTGTCTTGGCAGCCCCAGAAACATCTTGAGTTTCGGTGCGGGCTGGAAGCCCGAATGATTGAAAACATGGGCCAGAGTTACAGTCATGTCGAAACATCCCATTCACTGAAGATGCCACTCACACCGCACACACGAAGGAAAAGCAAGCAAGCAAGCAAGAAAGCAAGCAAGCAAGCAAGCAAGCAAGCAGCAAGCAAGCAAGCAAGCACGCAAGCAAGCAAGCATGCAAGCAAGCACGCAAGCAAGCATGCAAGCAAGCACGCCAGCACGCAAGAGAGCATGCAAGCAAGCAAGCATGCAAGCAAGCACGCAAGCAAGCAGACAAGCAAGCATGCAAACTAGCAAGCGAGCAATCAAACAAACTAACGAACAAGCGAAAAACAAACAAACAAGCCGCTGTACATATTGGTACGTGGCTATCTGGGAGTTTCCAACAAACAGAATTCCACAACATCAAAGCCTTTCAGCCCTTGTCCCATGGTATTGTGTCAGGTAAGAAAAATGCACAATCCGCAACACCACAAGCGTTTAGCCCAGTGAATCACCCAATACCCTGTCTTGATATTACCTAAATTGCGCTGCAAAGCACATACGCTCATGCCAGCCTAACCCTCATAACTCATAAACCACAGAAGCCCTAGATCCTAAACCCCTAATTACTGATCCCTTTTTGAACTTGGTACACTTCTCGATTTGCAACCCCTAATCCCTTTTTCAACACCTCGAGTATGCATATGCCAGGAACCGAGGCGCCCCTAAACAATAAACCCTTAACTCCAAAACCCACGTTCGAAGAGCCATGCATCGGTCTCCTTTACCCAGGCCCTTGCTGAGGAGGCCCGGCTCGAATCGCTTCAGCAGCGTTAGCCTCGGGTGTCTTCTAAGCTTACGCTCTCGTGCTCGGACTCTGCCAGACGAGGTCTTGCAAACTTCAGGGTTCGGGGATTCTAAGCACTTGCAGGGTCGGGGGACTTAGTATACAAGTACTGCAGTTATTTGATAGAGTTAATTATAAGTACCATAAGCGCAATTCGGATCCCACTTAGGGCAGTTGCAACTCTACTTGTTACCTACTTACTACGTCCTCGGACCCTCCAAGTAGGCCCAGAAGGAGCTCTGCTGGGCTTATCTAGGGGTGCTTAGGGGTCTCCATATGGGAGTTTCCGAAAAGTATGGGTACCTTATTGTGGGCCTTGTAATAAGGATCCGAGTATTTAGGGCATTCTGTTGGGGTCGGAACCTGCCTTATATAGGGCTTACAGTGACAAGCTTGCAGGGCTTCCAACTCCAACGAGGCTGAAGATTGAAGGCGAAATTATGGATCCTCCAGCAGGTTTGCAGATGTACCATTTGCATTTGTCCAGAGACTGAGGACCTATAAGCCAGAGTTGTAAGGTTTTGTTTTGCTTTCTCTAGGGCAAGAACCTCATGCGCGTCATCCGCAGTGATGGGGGTCATCGTGAGATAGGTCCCGAAAGTCAGCATCATGGCCAGGGTCAATCAATGCGGGTCGCTCCACCATCCTACCAGCCTAGTTTTGTGTTGCAGTCCAGACAACCAGGGCGCGGTGGAGGGCTTGTTCGGGGTCCGAGGGAAGCGCGGAGACTGAAGGGTGTTAGTCAAGGGTCAACATCTTTAACATGTCTGCCCAGCTTGCTGCCAGATAGCAGGTAGGCTGGCCAGTTCTTCACCGCAGATCTCATCTTCTGGGCAGTATAATGGTGAAGCATGGCCTCATGAGCCAGAGAGGAGGCTTGCACTGGGCAAGTCAGCCACGTAAGCCACGGTCAGCCCCTCATCGCACGTCTTGGGGCCCGGCCATAGCATCCTTCACCTTCTGCCTGGGTGTCAGTGATGTTGCGCCAACATACCATAATGAATGGTCGTGTTACGACTGCCGCTATGCAACTGCGTTTGTTGTTGTTTTACATAATGATAGTAATAGCCATACCCTAATGGTAATAAGAATAGTAAGAAATAGTAAGAATAACACTAGTAGTAACAATAATAATAGCCGTAATTAATGAGAAAATGGTAATAACAACAACAGAAGTAATGTTATTAATGATAATAATATTCGAGACTTACTCAAAGCCCGAGCTCCCGGCTTGCCGTTCTGGCAGCCACGCAGTGCTCCGAGATATCTCCGAACGCCAGAGTCGAAGTCGGCCTACCATGCTCTTCTCACTTCTCTCGTGGGGGGTTTAAGGGTCATAAGCATATGGGAAGATGGCAGCAATGAGGCACACCCTCCCTCCCTCTCTCGCTCTCTCTCTCTCTCTCTCTTTCTTTCGCCAGGGCTATGGCGAAGGGGAAGTTCCCCTCTCTCTCTCTCTCTCTCTACCGAGCTTGGGAATTGGCGGGCGTGCGAAGCGCACACCCGCTATTCGCGGGCTGTCCTCTCTCTCTCTCTCTCTCTCTCTCTCTCTCTGTCCCCTTCTTTCTGCAGGGCTAGAATCTAGAAGGCAGACCGCCGCCTCCTGAGCACTCGACTCATTTTTGCAGTGGAGAGACCGCGGGACATGGCAAGATCATTACGAGCCCCCTTGCCGGGGAAGAAGAAAAGTGAACAACACCATCATGCCCACAACAAATACAACGCGACTCATGATGATGAAACTAAATCAAAATCCCTAAAACCCACAACCAGAGCACCTTCTGGAGGATAGATCCGGGCTTGCTGACCGCCACATCGATTTCTGCAGAGATCTCGTCCCGAACCTCTTTACCTAGGTTGCTCTCTTTTGGACCAGACATGCCTCTGGCAAATGGGACCTGAGATGCTGCGTTTCGGGTTGAGGTTCCTGTCATCCCGCATCGCAGACCTGTCCGGCATGGGGTTCTGCTTTCGCCTTCAGCAGATAAGCTTACAAAGCTGCTAGCTTGATGCAGCACCATCACGCCAGCAAGACGTCGAAATGGAGCAGGAGAGATTCAGTGGTTTAGGTTCGGCACACGATAGGCATTATTCAGCGTGGAAGGAGATAAGCCGAAAGGACGACGTTGGTCGTGAATAGCTCACGGCATTCCGGACGTTGAAATCCTACGAAACAATCCCAAGTAATCCCGGCTGTGGGTGTCCCTAATTGTTTGCATGCCCCGGATAAGCCATGGGGAAGAGGCGTTTGTGCCATTACCGGATGGGCAAGACGAAATGACATAGTACGCTTTTGGCTCATACTCTAGTATAACGAGAAAAGCGCCTTTAAAGGGATAACTCAATTCTTGTTCCGACCCCTTCATGGATTGCGTGTTGAGATTTGGATCAGAAAGCAGCCTCGAGAATGCAGAGTCCTCCAAGCAAACTCTCGGGTTGAATCCAAGAATCTCCCACCATCGGCGACCTTTTCTCGATCCTTTGACTCCTGAAGTTTGGGATTCGACTGACTCTCACAACCCGCACAAGGCAGGCGAGACTTCACGACAAGTGGTCTTACACTAGGACCCTGGGATGCTACAAGTAATTCGAGAGGATCCCACCACCAAGCAAAAGCAATGAGCAAGAAGGACAAAGCTTACGGCAAGAACACACCACAAAACAAAGTGCGTCACGCCGCTCAACAGAGGTCAAGATGACAGAACGCTCCGACCAAATTCAGAAGGCATCCCCCTCCCAAAGTGCTCGACTGTGCTTCGATGGAAAAGTGGGAGACGGGACAAGCCGCCGCGGGGATGTCGCTCCTTCTTCTTTTTCTTCTTCTTGGGGTCCGGGAGGACCACTTCCTTCAGCTCTCTGCCCAGCAGCTCCATGGGAAGCAGGTCCGGGTGGCTTGCCTGTCAAGACTTCAGCTTCTGGATGCAAACTATGCGGAGGGCAACAAAACTATGTGCACAACATGTGCAACCGAGGTAATCTGAGCCATCTGAGCCATGACTTGCTTCCTTAGCGTGGCGTGCATCGCGATTAGCACCCGGTAGTGGCTCAAATCGAACTACAACACACACTGCACCAGCGAACCCTGACCTGCTACCAAACCTCACAACGCTTTCTCTCCACCATTGTTATTGAAGACTTCTTCACCCGAACTCCCCATGAGCTCGCGGCATGCAGGCTGGAGGGTGGTGCCCCGAACCTCTGAAGAATGTTGGAACAAGCTGGGGCCGTGAAAAACTGCAGACGATATCAAATACATTCAAACACCATGAGATCTCATGCTGAACGACCATTTGTCCTCGTATCTCTGTGCAAAGCTTCCGTGCAGGCTTCAAACGGCTGCCAGACCAAACAGTGACAAGTTCAAGCTAGGGGGGGCGGCCATTCAAGGTCCGACAAAGTTTAGGGCAGGTTCCAGGGATGTTTAGCGTTTGGAGACAACGGGCTCACATCGTGAAGACGGCGGGGAAGATTTTTCCTTTTAAGTCGGACAAGCCATGCAGGCTGAACTGCATCAACACAGCTGGCCCTGTCGGCTAAGCCCTGGGCGGCAAGTCGAATAAGCCTTCATGGCCAGGTGGTGGCGGCGGTGGAGGTGGTACCCGCGCCTGACAAAAGCGAATGGCTCAACTTTCCAAGCGGACACCTCATTATCTCTGTGCAGCGATGCGGTGGAAGTGCATCCACGTCAGACGACTGTAAGTACAGGTGTAGGTGTAATTGTTGCGCATGCCCGTAGGCACGGGCGCAAGAAGACACGGCCTGCATGAAGGAAGGGGCCATGGCCATGTTGGAAGCCATGGGGCTCAAGATTGGCCGGATCCCCTCGCCTGGCTGCTTCCAAGCTTCCAGGCTAATCAACTAATTATTAACCGGCAGCAGAGTAATTGGTAATATTGGTGTAGGTGCAGGATTGTATTGACAACAAGGCTCGGTTGTGTGGTTCGTCATGATCGGGGCCATCGCCGCTTCTTTCACCACTGAGTGAGGCAAAGCGCAGCTCTACTGCATGCCCGAGCATGCATGCGCAACAAAGAATCAAGAAGCCACCAATGGATTCGAAGGGCTGCTCTTGAGGTCTTGGTTTGCGGTACTTTCCCGTTGAGTATCTCAGTACCAGCAGAAAGAGAAGCATTTCTCAACAGGTCTCAACAGCAGCTTTCCTACGTTGTTCAAGATACGGACTGCCCTTCGTAAGGGCTGCGGAATACATGACCCTGCAAAGCGAAAACTACCACCATAGTTCTTGAAAATACAACATGTATTTCAGCTCTCTACCCAGGACCATGCAGCCAAAACTAAACCTTTCCTGTCAAACAAATATGTGAAACGTTCGAGCCTCTTGCTTAAAAAAGACATCCTTTCTCCATTCCCTAGACAAGGTGCTGTCGCCGCGAAAGGGCCCCTCCGCTGACGGAGCAGCAGGGGTTGGGCTGGCACCCCAACCGGCCTCTTGAGAAGTAGCAAAGAACCTTTAAGTTTGGTAATTGTGGAATCTGTGGGACTGTGGGATTCGGGTTTGGGATTTCGACTCGAGCAAGGCGTCACACACGACTTGTCCTCTAAGCTTACTTTGCGTGTGCTAAGACATTGGATTTCGGATTTGGGGAAGAAGGGTTGTTGAGCTCGGGGAAAAAGTCATGCTGCAGTTGTTACTACATGTGCCTAAGTGGGTTTCTCTTACTTTTCAACCCTGCTTACAACCCACCGAGTTACATAGTCACCTGCTACAGCAAAGAGAAAATCAGAGCTTCGGAAGATGAAGGCTTGAATGATTGGGTCCCTCAGAGATCAGAGGGCAGTCTTTCTTGTGGTGCCGGTTTTCAAGGGGCCTGCTTCCTTGTTACGGCTTCAGAGGGCAGGACAGACCGAAGATTAGCTCAGTAAGTCTTTCCCTGTCTCAACCGTCATCCCTGACCCCGGTTATGCTATCCGAGCACAGGTTGAGGCCCTGCTCTAGCTCTGACTTGCAGGGTACGGTCAGGCAAAGCAGGGTCTGTTTGTGTTTCAGGCTTCAGGGGTCAAATTTCCGAACCCATTCGCGGTTTTGACCCATGGTTTCGGGGGGGCGGCACGGCAACGGCTGGAGTGCAGGCCGTAGGCAAGTATATCTTAGACCCACCACAAGCAAAAACACACGTGCAACTTGTATCGTCATTTCCGAAATTGCTGCGCCTAAGCCCAGGGAGCCCTGAGACACCACCGGCGCTCACATAGAAAGCAGATAAGCGAGCGACGTATCCGGATCGGCCCCACCATGGTGTGGCCTGGCCAGCGGCAAAGCGTCAGCAATGAATGATAGTACTACAAGATTGTTGTAATCTTGGGGCAGCAGTAAATGCTACTCATAAGGGTAGAAGTAACGGAAAACCACCGCAACGAGAACGAGAATGAATGGTAAATAGTACTACAACAAGTAAGAACAAAGACAAGGAGACATACAGAAAACAACACAAAGACCACACCAACAACTCCAACACCGACATTACCGCCAACACCACCGACCACGAACCGACCACGACCACGTCCACGCACCACCAGCACTCCCAGCACCACCAGCAGGACCACCCCCACCACCGCCAGCAGCAGCAGCAACAACAACAACAACAACAACCACGACCACAACCACAACCTCCACGACTACAGCTACGACGACAACGACCACGACGACGACGACTACTACTACGACGGCTACGCTACTACGACGGCTGCTACTACAACTACTACTGCTACGACTACTACGACTACTACGACTACTACGACTACTACTACTACTACTACTACTACTACTACTACTACTGCTACTGCTACTGCTACTGCTACTGCTACTACTACTACTGCTACTACTACTACTACTACTACTACTACTACTACTACTACTACTACTACTACTACTACTACTACTACTACTACTACTACTACTACTACTACTACTACTACTACTACTACTACTACTACTACTACTACTACTACTACTACTACTACTACTACTACTACTACTACTACTACTACTACTACTACTACTACTACTACTACTACTACTACTACTACTACTACTCCACCACCACCAACAGCAGCACCAGCACCAGCACCACTACCACAACAACAACAACAACAACAGTACAACAACTGCAACACAGCATCAGCCGAAGCAGCAGGAGCAGCAAAGGCAACGGCAACAAAAACAACTCAAACACAAGACAACAAAAGTGATGCAACACCAGCAGTAAGAACGACCGTATCAACATCAAAGCAATACCACGCATAGCACGTTACGAAACATGGAAGTACTAACAGCACTACGAAGGTGTTCACAAGCATGGTCATCAATGTTCTCCCCGGCACTACCCCATGAATGAGTTGTCATAACAATGCTGCTAGAAGTCTTGTTGCTTTGTTGTTGCTGCTGCTGATGGCTGCGAATAATGCTTGGCTCCTTGAAACATTCCCCCCCTCCCCTGCAAACCAACCCTAAAGCCTAAACCCTGAAAACGATGAATCCTAAAACCCTAGGCCCCTGACGATGCCCGGCCTGAGCAGAAGACATCGCCGCATCACCGGAGAAGGGCACATCGCGCATCGGCTCGCCTGAGCGGAGCATGCGAAAGCGGGCCAAGTTCATGTTCCTGAGTTGTAATCATTAAACATAACAAAAACACCGTAAGCTAGTTCGATAGTATGATCAGGATGTAAGGGCTTGGTTTGGGCGTATACAGGAGGGACTTCGGAAGTGGGTTGGGTTTGGGAATATGCTGTAGGGACTTCGCAAGTGGGCTGACGCCGATGGCATCCTAGAATAGGTGTTCTAGCTACAGCGTGCCTCTGAGTCCAGGAAGCCTCCGGAGCTCTTGAGGGGTCTTGGGATCAATAGAGAAGCCTGACTAATCTTACTCCTGAGGATTTCATAAATATTCTCCTAACCGTAGCATGCCCCCATCTTATGCTTGTCTGCTTTCAACAGTTACGAGGTATGTTATGAGTCTTATCAGCGTGGTATTTTGTTGGGGGAGGCTGTCCTACTTTAGCAGCCTTCTTGCTGTTAAATGCATCCTACGATCTCTCGGGTACCACGATGGTGATCGTGTTGATTCTTGGTAGAGGTCAGATCAGAGTTGATGGCATTCTTGCTATTCGTGCTATCAACATCAATCATCTTTTTCACTAAATATCACGTAACTGTATAGTAGATGTTGTATCTTGCATAGTCAGTGGTCTTGTCAGGTTCGACTCGCTTTAGCTAGCTCTGGGCTTGGGGAGCGGGGCCTTTCGAATCTGTGGTCTCGGGCCTCAGGACACAGAAAAGTCAAGGCACGTCATGGCCAGAATCTCCTTACTGCTGCTAGGGTTTATGTAGTAACTTGCGGTGCAATTTCTCATAACCAATGCATCATCCACTTGAACTGCAAACCCTTAAGGCCTAAGCCCTCTACCCTACGGCCCAGGGCCCTGTCGAGAAATTACCAGCCCCCCCTCCCCCGAGCGAACCTCGAGACGGCGACCAAGCCTGCAAAGAGCTTAGTATATCAGCCCTTAACCCTTCGATAAATGCTGTTCTAAGAACTAAGGCCCTATGTGGATTTCTCCGAGGCAGTCCAAGGTTGCAAAATGAGGGACTTTCTTAGAACAAGGACTAAGATCGCAAGTTGTAGTCAAGGTTCTATATTAGCCGCTGTGAAGAATTTGCCGAGGATTTGTGGATCCAGGGTGTGAGAATGTGGGGCACCACTCAGCGTCGAACATAGATTGGGTACCCCCTGCCCCCCATACTAACTGTAACAGTCCATAATAATGGTAGTGTTAAGGGCCTGAGAAACATCGACGTGGGCAAATGGATCTAAACCCTTCTGCCCTAGGCTGCTTCCTCAACCTCCCTTTAAGTCGGGATCAAGGTCAATGCTTCACTAAAACCTTAAAAAAACGACGCTATACACCCTGTAAGCCCTATAAACTCTATAGCGCTGTAAAGCCTAGAATCTAGATCAATGCTCCACCAGGCGTGTCTAAAGTGTAACCCCTCAGCAAGTCAACGCCGAGCTATGCCTGCGACTGCCAGCCACTGCCTCGAAAGGGCCAGAGCTTGTGACGGTGCAAAAAGGGGCCATTTGCAATCAGACCATTGGCTAGGGTTTTGAGTAGTACATGTTGTTATTATAATTTGTTAAGGAACCCCCGGGAGCAGTATTAGCAAATATTTAGGCTTCTTTGCGAGGGTACATAAGGCTGAAAGACGCTTCGACTGTCGCGGCTTGTCGGAAAGCACATGGACGCACCACCTCCCAAGGAACCACCCTCGACCCCATGCAAAAAATGACAGCACAGGCCACCTTCCACAAACATGTCCAATGCCGATTTTGCAGGGGAGTGCGACCACATCAACTCCGAGCCGATAAGTGATTAGAGTTAACCGATCTGTAAACCTGGTTCCCACAGTCCGAACAAACCCTGTACGGGGCCCTCGCTCCAGGACGAGCTCGATTTCCACCATCCGGAGCCTCAGCTTATTGCGTTGTCGTGCAGTTCTGTGAATGTGTACTGCAGCTCGCTGCAACTGCCATTGAAGTAGACGAGAAACTGTGTTGCAGGGGAGCACAGAATTGACTTTAAAGAATAGTACCTGTATGTGGCCATTTACTAAGTTTCTCTCGCACAGACCTGCCACCCTAAAACCCAAAGCTACGCTCGATCGGACGAACCTTGAGGTCGCGGCTCCACTCGTCTTTCTTGAAATCCCAACAGATGCCCCATTTGCCGTCCTCGTCTTCGTCACCGTTCGCCTTGCGACATCACCACTGAGTTTCTCGCAAAGTTTTTGGTGTGCGAAGCTGGCTGACCGTGCAACTTCTACTATAGTAGTATTATAGTATTTTGCGATGATAGTATTATTATAGTATTAGAGTGTTGTACAATCATAGTATTAGAGTATTATAGTATTATGCATGTGCAACACAGTCTGACAGCCCACCTAGAGCAGCAAGACTGTCAGATTCAACCCCAAACGCACTGCCAACGAGTAGCTGCCATTCCTGCCCACCTCAGACGGCTGCAGTCGGATTACAATTGCATCAAAGGGCTGAATGCAAGGGCTGAGGCTGAGAAGTTGCACCCTACTGCCAGCTGCCACGCACTTCGCTTTACTTGGCAGAGAATTCTTGCGAAGCCTCAACAGACACTTGTGTATATACCGGGATCAAGGTGCAAAACTTCCACTCATCATCTAGGCTCCTTACTGAGCATAGCTTGTGTGCGACGGCTACACTAAAGAACCGCTGAACTGAAAAGCGCGATTCATGCTGAGTACATCACCGGCACTGAAAATTAAGGGTCCTTGATCGAGGCAGTAGTCCTGTGATAAGGATCCTCCCGTAGCGTTTCGTAGTACCGTAGCAGAAAAGGCTCCATCGGCTCCCAGTTGCTTCAAGAACTTCCAAGCACCGGACTTCCAGAGGGGGGGAGGAGCGAACGGTCTACAAACGCTGTGCGCTGATATTGTAAATGGCACACGGCAGCGTGGATGCTCGCAATGCGCATGACCTACGACTTTCGACTGGCTGTCGATTGTCTACTACCATGTCATGTGCCTGAGCGCTTGAAGACGGAAGCTGTGGCAAGGATTATTGGGCGCACCGGTGATTGCTGTGACCGGCGCTAGTGTGCTGGGCCATCTCCTTCTCCCACTTTGCTTCGAACCTCGCCTGGCCGGAGTTTGGCACGAAGGCAACAAGCACATTCACCACCGCATGGTCAAACCCGTCAGTATCAATACAACTCCAGGAGCACGTCCTCAACCAAGGATGTCGCTATTCTTGTCTTAGTTGTGACAGTGTTGCTGTTAATGGTGCTGGGGCATAAGACGCCGATTCCGAGAGCCAAGGTGAATTCCTACGTTTCCGGAATCGCAGAAATCGGATTACAAATTACGCACTTGTAGCTCTATTTTGCACCCAGGCCTCTTCGAGCTGTATGAAACCCTAAACCCACTCATACGGCTTGTCAAAGAACGGCCTTGGCTTGGGAGAAACCAGACCCAAAGACCAAAAGGGATCCACCCAAACCCTGGCAGGAAGTATATGATACAATGTACTATGGCAGATCGTATCCTGTGTAACTCCTGGTCCTAGCCCGTGTCACTGAGTCCGTCACCTCGGCACCCCGCAAAGTCCCAAGCTCCGTGGCGAGCTGCTGCATATCCTTCTGCTGGGCCTGCAGCAGAACTTTCTTTAGAACTCCTTCTTGTTCGAAAGGCTTGGGTCCTAGGAAGTCGAAGGCACAGGCGCCGTGGTTCTGGAGAAGCCCATATCGAGCTTGCGGGTTCATGAAGCACTCTTTGCCGTCCAGCACATCTTCCAAAGCTCGCTCAGATCACGGCTTCAGCCTTTGATCTCAAGGGTTGTTAAATTAAAGATCATAAGACAGAGTCTCCTGCATCCAAGAAGGCCGTCGTCACTGTCACTTCAATGCTGCTACTTCCCAAACCCTAGATTCCTCACCCAAAATCCCGAACCGTGATCCCCAAGACCCGCACCGTCTGCACCACATTGGCATCCGGCTCCCCAAACCAATCAAACTTTGAGAAAAGTCTACTAAGACTCCAGTCCCAGCTGCTGAGCTTGCGTAAATATGTGCCCCGTCCAAAACCCACGCTGCACGAGCATGGAAGTTATATAAGTGCCCACACTCAGCAGAACAAACCGACGTCACGATGTCGCCTGCATCGATTCCAAGAGTTCCTTGTTCTGCGCACTCTGCTCCTGCAAAAGCACTGAATTCCTCCCGAGGCTGTTCGATGCGGTTGCTTTCGAAAGAAGCCAAGCCATGAGAATCCACTGTTTGTATCTTGTGTCAGCTTCGGTGGACCCTTTCTTGGCAACTTCCGAACTCCTCACCTCATAGTCCTTCTGCAGCTTGCGCAAGTCCTTTTCCGCAGATGGCAGATGCAGTTGAAAGTCGAACGTCAGTGCGGGTGGGAAGACTGTTCCTTTAATGGCCAAAGTCACGGCCGCTTGCAGGGCGTTATCGACTGGAGCTGGGCTCCTGAACCCTCTAAGTCAGGTACTAATGATGCACAGAGGTACCGAAGAGAGCCAGGAATGCGCGTGCCTCCTGCTGCTGTTGGGCAAGAAGCTTTGCAGACCTCATAACCAGCACCACTACCACCGGTAGTACTGCTAGTTATATCGTAAACAAGTAATGCAGTCAGAAGCACTTGCTACCGGTAGTAAGTAGTGCTGGTACTGCACGTACTGCTAGCCAGTGCTTGTCCAGCTCCTGCTGCTGCTACGGCTACTCATGAAGTGCTCCTGCTCCGAGTCCTTCTCCCGCCACTACTCCTACTACTGCTGCTGCTGCTACTACTACTACTGCTACTACTACTACTACTACTCGTCCTGCTGTAACTGCTTCCCTTCGTGACAGCTACCCGTCTGACTTCGCACACTAGTGACAACTTCTGCTGCAGCGATAGGGTTGGGGGATGCATCATGGCAACAATGAGAGCATTTCGGGTGTATTGACACCGTCTGCGTGGTGAATGGCTCCCCAAAATCTGTTGCAGTAGGCTTCTAACCTACTGGGAAAGGATACAGGCCAGATAAACAGTTGCGCCAGCTGAAGCTCTGGCATCAAAAGCATGGTGACAGCTTAAGGCCATAGGAGTTAGGAACAGGACCCATTCCACCATCACGCTGCAGCTCCATATTCATAGTCTGTGTCTAAGACAGCGACTCATTCTCTGCAGCCGCTACGCGCAGGGCTTCCACCTGCAAACACTTGCAACATCCCGAGAGCCATAGTCATAGTCTGGCTGTGAAAGCAGATCAGCAAGATCTGTAGGCATGTCACGAGGAACAAGATTGTAGTTTTTTGCTGGGTATGTTTCGAACGAGCAAGATGTTTGGCAAGCGCCGTCTTCTTCTCGTCACTCACGTATGCAGCAACTCGAGGGTTGCTACTCGTAGATACATCGCGAAATGATAAACATGCAATCGAAATCATCGTCGTTACCATGACCATCGCCATCACCGGCACGAGGAAGATCATCGTCATCACCAAAACGTCGTTCATCGTCTTTGTGGTCTGAGTAGTGAAGTTAGCACCTGACACGGACTTCGGCCCGTGGGTACCGGACAAGCGCCTAAAACTATGACGACTTCTGCGAGACGGACTGATAAGATCCAGGCAAAGTGGTTTAGGAACTACAATCCTACAATCCGAAACACTGAGCCAACCCTGAAACTCTTGAGCTCCATAGCCGCACCAGGAATTTACTTTTTACGCAGGGTCGTGGGACGCTCCGCTCTCAGAGCCTGTGCTAAACAGAGCTGACCAGAGCTCGGCTCTGCGTAATCGATGCACACAGGCTGCGCCACCTCTAGTATAGCTCCTAGGCCTCAGAAAATATCCCCTTTGATAATCCGAACCTGAAGAGTACAGCTCCTAGGCCTCATTATATGGCCTTTGATAGTCCGAACCTGAACAACGATAAGAACCTTCGCTTCTTGGATGAACGTGACTTGCCATTGTTTGGCGACCCTGTGTGCTCCAACGCTCCCTGCTTCATCTGGGTGAAAAACGGCGAACAAGAATATGGTTGGTGTTGTGGCACTCGGACTTCTGCTAGACATCTGGTAACACGACAGACTTGCAGTCATGTCTGTTTCCTGCCCGCTGCACTCTACAGAGGAGCTATTCCATCTTTGGCCCACGTGCATTTCTGCAACTGCGTCCTCGAAGCCCGAATCCTCGAACCGCATCCTGCGACCCCATGAGCACTAAAAGGCTGCCGACCCCTTGCCGCAAGGCAAAAAGTTGATCAAGTATTCAACCGGCAATTTGCTCGTCAACTCAAAGCTCGTTCTATGTCAGGTCGTAGTGGCTGATGGACTGGGAGCAAACCTTATACCCATTATTCATGTATCAGTAACTATTGCGCTGTTGCACCGCAAGAAGCAGCAGCATCAGGGAATTGCCTACGACAAGCTCAACTTCGGCTAAAGTCTCCGAGCCGAAACCCCTGCACCCTGCCTCCAAGCCCTAAACCCTGAACCCTATAACTCCCAAGCTTCGACACCCAAAGACACTCTCCAAGCCCTGAACCCTGAACCCTAGAACCCCAAGCTTCGAATCTCGACAAAATCTTTCAATCTCCCGGCAAAAACGAACGAGGGCTCAGGTGAGAAGCAGCTCGTGAGCTGAAACGCCACGCCTCGAGGGGTCGCCGGTCTTCAGTTTACATCTTATGTTGAACTGTAAGAGATAAACTGAATTCCGTGTAAAAATGCAGTTGATAATCTAGTCTGATATGATATCGTTTACTGTATTTGTTTGATCCAATATGTTACACTTCATAACATGTCATATCACATGATATGATGTGGTGTGCTATGATGTGATACCATCTCGTAGTATGCTCTACGGCTCAAAACAACGATATCACATCAGACCGGAGTGCAGTATATGCAGTCTAGTATAAGATGGTAGAAGAGTATACGAGAAAGTACAAAAGAGTAAAGTAAAGTATGCAGTGTAGTATAACATGGTAGAAGCGTAGACTAGAAAGTACAAAAGAGTAAAATACAGTATAGTGTTTTATCAATACATCTCATCATACATGTCTTGTCTTGTATTACGTAGCAAGGCTGTTTTGTGCAAAGTCTTCCCACGCTGTATTACATTATGTACTGTTGTACTTTTCTATAACTTTGGTTGCGAAGATTCATTACCTTCTGTATCATGCTACATACTATACCCTCCTCTAATTTACCAAACCATACCATACCATACCATCATCAGGTACACGTGCTACGCAACACTAGACTAGACTATCCTAGTAGTAGTAGCAGCAGCAGCAGTAGCAATTGCAGTCGCAGTGGCAGTAGCAGTACACATAGTAGCCATCGTCGTCGTAACATCGTAGTCGAAGCACTGGTAGTGGTAGCAAAAGTAGTGGAAGCGGAAGTAGCAGTAGGAGCGGTAGCAGTATCAGTGGCAGCAGCGGCAGCGGCAGCGGCAGCTGTAGCGCAGTAGGAGGAGTAGTAGAAGTAGTAGTAGTAGTCGTCGTCGTCGTCGTAGTATAGCAGTCGTAGTAGTAGTAGCAGTAGTAGTAGTAGTAGTAGCAGTAGTAGTAGTAGTAGTAGAAGTATAGTCGTCGTAGCGGTAGTAACTAGTAGTGATACCGGTAGCAGCAGTAAATAGTAGTAACAGTAATGGTAGTAGTAGTAGTAGCAGCAGTAGCAGTAGCAGTAGCAGTAGTAGTAGTAGTAGTAGTAGTTGTAACTGTACATAGTCTGCGGGCTGGCTGTTGTGCTGTATGCTTTTATGCATGCTCTTCTGTAATTCGTATTCATAACATTTTTGGCTCAAGTGAGCACGGCAGTGTGTCGTTGGTAGCTTCTCGTTGCCGCGACGCAATTGCGCGCAGCCCGTCCTGGGCGGACGTTCGACCTGTCACGGTCGTTGGACTTTCTGCTTGGACGGAAAACGAGGGTGCGTGCTGCCCCTTTGGGTTTCCGTTCTCCACAATTGGGGGCTGTTCTGGGAAACGGCCACCCAGGCGGCTGCTGCTCCGCAATCTTTTAACGTGGCCTCGAAGGCGCGCTTGTCGTGCGCCTTGAGGCCGTGGTCCTGTGTGGCACGGGGCTCTCTCCTTCGCTAGGCGACCATGAGCGCTGAGGTCGCAGGTCAGCCGGAAGGAGCCACGTTGCTGAGGTGCATCGAGGATGGGTCAGTGGAGTACCCGGAGAAGATGCCCTTTATGTACTGGCTCCGTTGGCGTAAGGAAACGGGGTCCCGTCCCACCAAGAAGAAGGACGGACGATCCACGACGCTAGCAGATGAACAGCGTCTGGGGAAGGAGACGATGGAATTCCTCTACGACAACTTCGATGCCGAAGAGGAAGAGGAAGAAGATGAAGAGGAAGATGAGGAAGCTCCAGCTGCGGAAGCGGGCCCGGGTGCTCAGGATGGCGATCCGGGCCCCAGCTCTGAAGAGCTTCTGCCGGAGGCCGGGGTACCGGCTCCGCGTCCTGCCGCTGCGCCGGCGGACGTGGCCGAGACGGCGCGCCGTGTTGGTGCGCTTGCTCTCTCGCCGGTGGCCGGCGGCCCGGCCCGTTCCGGGCCTCCCTCGTCTGCTGGGACGGGTGGTCCCGTCACGGCGGAGACCCTGCAGGCGGACCTGCGGGAGCTCTACCGTCCCGACCAGGAACCGGTCGCGGATTACCTGACGCGGGTTTCAAGGCTGGTTGTGGCCTTGAAGGCGCACCAGGCAGAGGTCACGGTGGAGGATCTTGAGAAGATCACTACCAAGGCCACCATCCTTGCCGAGGAATACGGCAAAATGGGAGGTGACTGGCACCCTGCCAGGATGGTGCGGGCCCTGCGCACCAGGTTTACCGTTGCCGCGGTTTCTCTTGGGTCGGAAGACCGAGAGGAGGTCGAGAAGGAGATCTCGTGCCTCGGCGAGCTGATCTTGGCCCTGGGAGGCAAGAGCAGCGGCGATCCCGAGAAGGTTTGGAGCACTCCTTCTTCTGTCCCGGCCCTGGCGGCCCGGACGGGCGCCGTTGCGGAGTCGGGCTCTAAGTCCGGAGCACCGGCGCCTCTCCCGGTGGACCTTCAGCTCGCGATCCCTGAGGATCCGCAACCTGGTCCGGGGGACTCACCCCTGAAGTCCCGCCTTGCGGCTCTGGAGATAGAGCTCGAAGGGCTTAAGAAGGATAAGCCCGGCGAGCCTCACTCCGCCAGCGGCGGAGCCGGAGAGCTCGCTGCAGCTTTGGCGGCCCAGACCGAGGCGCTCAAGGAGGCCTTGGCGTCTCGCGGAGGTCAGACGTCGATCACGACCGTGAAGACGGACCTCCAATGGCCCTCGCTCACCGACGATCGCTCCGACATCCGGGACGTGGTCCAGTTCTACGAAGAGTTCGAGGACGTCTGTGGCCTTGCCAACAACTGCAAGGGGATGAATTTCCGGGAGAAACTCATCGCCCTTCGTGCTCGCTGCCGCGGCTCGAGGCTTAAGACCTTTACTAACGTGTACAAGGCTGCCTCCAAGACCGGGGAAGTTACTGAGAATCCCCAAGCCGTTTACGAAAGGATCAAGCAGCGGCACCTTGTCTTCGGCGAGAGCCGAGAAGAGAAGGAGATGAGGGTGGACGCGGAGCACGTCGCCCTCACTAAGGGCCGTCTCACAGGGCACCAGTTCGAGCCCCTGTTTGAGGCCTCCATCGCGGAGCTGGAGAGTGTGGGTCTTGGCAAGACAGCGAGGGAGCTCTTCCTAAGCTACTTGCGCAAGATGCCTCCACATCTCCAGAAGGAGATCCGCGGTGATAAGCGGTTGTGGCCTAGCGACGGCGCATCCGCAGGGCTTCGAGGCCCTTCGACCTGGGAAGAAGCGCATAAGGTCGTCCTCGAATATGAGCAGCGTGAGGCTGCGCATCGGGTGACGGCTAATAGCGTGTACGCAGGTTCGACGGAAGACCCAGCCCTGTCCGCCGCGCGGAAGGAGGTCGAGAAGCTGAGGACGGAGCTCAAGGCTTCTAAGGCCGCGGCCAAGGCGGCCGCCTCTTCCACGCTTGCCGCTGGTCCGAAAGGAAATGGAAAAGGTAAGCCTATCTGTTTCCATTTCCGCGACCACGGGAACTGCCCAAAAGGGGACGCGTGCCCTTACTCGCACGACAAGGAGCTCCGCAAAAAGGCCCTCGCGGCCAAGAAGGAGCGGGACGCGTCCACCCTGGCGACAACGCCGGGGAAGGGCAAGGGCAAGGGCAAGGGTGGACCCGGAGGGCAGCCCAAAGGCAAGGCCAAGGCCAAGCCCAAGGCGAAGTCCAAGGCGGGCGCGAAGCCGCCAGGGACTATCTGCCCTTTCTTCAAGAAGAACGGGTCGTGCCGTAAGGGAGCGGACTGTGACATGGTCCATTCGCTTCCCGCCACTGGGGGAGCCGCGTTGCCTTCGAACTGGGCGGCCCCGAGTGGCGCCGGGATGGTGAATCCCTTCGCTACGCTCTCCATCCAGATTGGGAGCGCTGGCACGGTTGTTGCGGCGAACTCCTCCGCTTTCCCGCTTGCCAAGAGCTCGTCGTCGAAGTTCAGCTCGTTGGACGAGCTGCCTCAGGACTGGTGGCACCTCTGCGAGAACGAGGTCGGGGGGTACCAGTACAGAACAGTCGTGCAGGTCATCGACGGCATGGTGGAATGCATGCTGGACGGGTGTGCAGGCTCGAACCACATCACGGAGGAACTCCTCTGTGGGATCCTCAACCGGGCTGCTGCCTTGGGGATCGGCACGGAGGACCGGAGGTTTCCTGTCGTGAAGTTCGAACGCTGGGTGCATCCGGAGTTCGTCCATGGGATCGCTGCAGGGAAGCCGGTGCCCCTGAAGGGGGCCGTCGTGCTGAGAGTCCGCTTTCTGGAGGGGCTCTCCCCCGACAACTGCAGCGAGGGTCCAGAGATATTCGTGCGCTGTAAAATAGCCGCGAAAGGAACCTCGGATTGGCATGGGCTCATCCTTGGCGGCCGCGCCTTGGATTGCTCGGGACGGCAGGGCTTGGGCTTCAAGCCCCTTCCTGACTGCCACTCCCTGGAAACCCTTGGGATTAAGATCCCCAGGTGCGAAGACTACAGTAGGTCGCGGAAGGACCGCGCCTACGCCTTCGAGTCCAGGCTTTCTAGTCTCGACGGTGCTCTGTGCTTTGAGCCGGGTACCGGAGGCAGGGACCTGCTCCGGTACAGCGGGGAGAACCCGCTGGAGCTCTTGGCCGGAGATGGGGTCATCGCACCTGTGAAGAGGGAAGGCAGTGGAGGCCAGGATGGCTCCCTTACGGAGGCTGTCCTCCCGGTAGAGTCCGCCAACTGCGAAGCAGTGCCTGGGCTGTGGCCCACAGGAGCCGAGGAAGGTTCGATCTTGCTGGTAGCCGAAGAGGACACGACTGTCTCTCCGGGTGCCGTCGTCGGCGAGGTCCGGACCGGGCTCGCGCAGACCACCGCGTGTGAATGCGGAGGGGTTGAGACCCTCTTTACGGACGCGAGTGGTGACCCGTGTGGGAACTGCGGATTAGGCACTGCCGAAGACTCGACCTTCCCTGGATGCTTTGCGTGCGGGTCCACCGAGAGGACCGCCGTCTGTGGCCTGCAAGGCTGCGGCGCATGCTCGCACAGCAGGGGTTGGCGTAAGGGCCTGAGGGTTGGGGCGGTTTTCGCCCTTGCCGCCGTAAG